GCACTGGATAGTGCGCCGCTTGGGAAGCGCGGCGGCGCTCCCGCCCGAGGGTTCGGATCCCACATACAGACCGGTTCCCGCTCACTGGCTGAGTGAGGCACGGGAGCAACACCCAGGGTTGCAATCCCGTTGCCGGTCCCCGGTCCGGTACGGGGGCAACACTGAGGGTTGCGATCCGTTGCCGGACACGGAAAAAGACAAAAGACAAAAAAAAAAAAAAAAAAAGTATACAATCCAATGTTTTTAAGCATATTCATAAACTTATATACAACCTTATATTCATCACTCAGTAAAATAACCCTGTACCTATTAGCAACCATTTCCCATTTTCCCCCAGCCCTAGACAACCACTAATGTCCTTTTTTGTCTCTATGGATTTGCCCATTCTGGACATTTTGTACAAATGAAATCATACAATATGCAGCCTTTTATGATTGGCTTCTTTCACTTAGCATAATGTTTTCAAGATTCATCCAGGTTGCAACATGTACCTGTACTTCATTCCTTATTATGGCTAAATAGTATTCCATTGTATGGATATGTAACATTTTGCTTATCCATTCACCAGATGATAGACATTGGTTGTTTCTACTTTTTTTTGGCTATAATGAGTAATGAATAATACTGTTTATTAACATTGGTGTACAAATTTTTGTTTGGGCATATGTTTTCTTTCTTTCTTTCTTTCTTTTTTTTTTTTTGGTGGCTGGCTGGTGCAGAAATCCAAACCCTTGACCTTGGTGTTGCAACACCATGCTCTAACTAACTGAGGTAACTGGCCGGCCCTGACATTCCTGTCTTAAGGTGGTATTAATCCTGCTTTCCTTCCTGTTGCCTGCCTCTTCCTTCTCTGGTCCATCTTGCACACTGGCTCCAAATGAGCCTCCCCAGAGCACAATTCTAATTCTTCTGCCCTCTATTGCTTATTGTGTGGCTCATGCATTACCTGACAGATTTGTCAGCATTCCTTACCCTGGCATTCCTTGCATTCATTATGCCCTGAACCCTAACTTACTAACTTCATCTCCCACTGCCTTCTCTGCATGGACCCCATCTGTTTCTCACCCTATCTTGAATGTCCTTCTTCAGTCTGGTACTTCCTGCCCTGGTCCCTTAGACCAGTATTCCCTCCCCTCAGAAATCACTTCTTCCCTCACTTCTTTACCTCTATTAAAAACTTACTTATCCTTCACGTTCCAATTCAAGTGATAATTTTTCCATGAAGCTTTCCTGCTGAGGCCTTTAGCTGGAAGTAACCTTCTTTTCTTAGAACTCCTGTGGCATTCTATATCTCATTTATGTCATTTAATGTTTTTTGTCTTTATTATTTCTTTAAGTATGTTTGCTTACCTTTAAAGGTGATATATATACATATACACATTTATTCAAGTATAAAAGAATATGCAATCGTCTTCATTGTGGAGGTCTGTAAAATTAAAAAAATTTTTTTAATAAAAAAAGAAAGAAAAAGAATATGCAATCAAAAGTACGTCTCCCTCCTACCCCTTTCCAGATGCTACCACTATAGCTAGTCCCATGTGTTTCCTTAGAGAGGGATTTTGCCATGTGAATGTTTTGTAGTCCCCACTCATTTGCAGCTTCTTGGAGATGTGTGTCTTGCTAATTTCTGTGCATCTCACAGGACTTACTGTATTGGGTGCATGTCTGTTCACTCAACCAATATTTATCAACTTCTTCCTATGTGCTGGGGACTCTGCTAAATGTTGGGGATACAATGGGGATCCAACACAGACATTGTGTTCAGTGTGAAAAAGAAACATTAAACAGGGGCCGGCCCGGTGGCGCACTGCTACAGTGCGCCGCTTGAGAGCGCAGCTGCGCTCCCGCTGAGGGTTCGGATCCCACATACAGACTGGTTCCCGCTCACTGGCTGAGCGAGGTGCGGGCACAGTGCTGAGGGTTGCGATCCCGTTGCCGGTCCCGGTCCGGTACGGGCGCGACACTGAGGGTTGCGATCTGTTGCCGGACACGAAAAAAGACAAAAAAAAAGAAACATTAAACAAATAATTACACCAAGAATGCATAATTATAAATTGAGTTAAATGCTGTGAAGGAAAGAAGTACAGTTTTAAGAGAATCTGTCATGCAGGAACCAGACCTAGGCTGAAGAGGCAGAGAAAGCTGTCTTGAGGAAATGACACTTGAGCCAAGAGCTGGGTGATGACTTGGAGTTAACTAAGCAAAGGCAGGGAGAAGAGGGTTCCAGGCAGGGCTGCGCTCCCGCCGAGGGTTCAGATCCCACATACAGACTGGTTCCCGCTCACTGGCTGAGCGAGGTGCGGGCACAGTGCTGAGGGTTGCGATCCCGTTGCCGGTCCCGGTCCGGTACGGGCGCGACACTGAGGGTTGCGATCTGTTGCCGGACACGAAAAAAGACAAAAAAAAAGAAACATTAAACAAATAATTACACCAAGAATGCATAATTATAAATTGAGTTAAATGCTGTGAAGGAAAGAAGTACAGTTTTAAGAGAATCTGTCATGCAGGAACCAGACCTAGGCTGAAGAGGCAGAGAAAGCTGTCTTGAGGAAATGACACTTGAGCCAAGAGCTGGGTGATGACTTGGAGTTAACTAAGCAAAGGCAGGGAGAAGAGGGTTCCAGGCAGAGGGAATAGCATGCACAAAGGCCCTATGGCAGAAGGGAGCATGGCACATCAAAAATGGTGAGGGATCCAGTGTCACTGGGACTCTGAGAATGGTGTAGAGTATATTTGTAATCTGAGAGCAGAGTGGGAGCTGGGGCTGACCTTGCGGGTCCTTGTAAACCATTTAAAGGTCTTCCTTATTAATCTAAGAACAGGGGAAAGCCATCTAAGGGTTTTAAACCGGTTGGTGACATAATCACTTTAACTTTTGAAAAGATTCATCAGACTGCCTGCAGAGAGCTGGTTGGAGGTGAGTCTACGGGTTGACCCACTCATTCACTGGAGAGAGTGCGGCGGCTTGAGCTCACGCTGCTCTGAGAAAATCAAGGTAGTTAGTTAGACAGGGCTCCCTTGACTCCTACTATCAAGTCTACAAACTTTACTGCTCTGGGCCCACGTTTGCACCTCACTTTGTGTCACAGTGGGAGAGTGTCCTGCTCCTGTCAGTGGTTCTGGGTCCCATGCCCTCTCCTGCTCAGGGACTTAAATCCTGCACTCACCTCCCATCATACTGTATCATTAACTTATGCCTCTTTCCTAGGTTACTCCCATTACAAATATCCTCTGGCATCTCTCACATTGAAAAAAAGCCCTCTGTTGACATCACCCTCTGGTGATCTGGTGATTGCCCCATTTCTCTGTTAATCTTTAGAACCAGCATCCTCAAAGGGGTGTCTACCCTTGCTGTCCTCATTTCCTCGCCTCCTATTCACTCTTTAACCCATTCATTTCTACTTTCTTCCCCCCACCCTTACGTTTTTGAAATTGTTTTTATTAGGTCACAAGTAAGCCCATGTTGCCAAATTCAGTGGACACTTTGCTGTCCTTGTTTCTATCACCCTCTCAGTAGAATTTGGGATAGCTGAACCGTCAAGTTCAAAGTCTCCACTGTGTTTTGTGAGAGCCCCAGTCCTGATTTTCCTTTGATCTCAATTAGTACTCCTTTTGTTTCCTTTTATTTTTGGCCCCTCCTCCTTTCCCCAAGCTCTCAGTGCTGGTCTCGGACCCTCTTCCCAGGTGACCAGCCCAGTTCCGTAGCTTTAAACGCCATCTGTATTCTCCAACCTGCCAGTTTATCTCCAACTCTGACCACTTCTCTAGGCTTCAGATTTCTGTGTCCAGCAGCCTTCCTTAAACATATATGGACACATTTCATGGACATCCCAAACATAGTGTGTCTAGAACAGATCTCTTAGCTTTCCCCCAGAAGCCTGTTCCTTCCTTCATGCCTTAGTTGCTCAATTTAAAAAATTTAGTTCTAGATTTCTTACAATAAAGCCTGCGATTGCTCAGGAATCTTATGGGCTCTGTCTTCTGCCTTCCCATTTTCCCTTCTCTCTGGCCATTCTCCCCATATTCACGGGCTGCAGCCTCAGGGTTCTCCTCTTTTTTTCTTATATAGCTCAGCCTATTCTCACCAGGGGCTCTACCTTCCTGCTCCCTCTACCAGAAAATTTTCTCCCGACCATTTCCCTTCTCATGTATCAGGACTCAGCTTACTGTTAGCTCCTTAAAATGGCCTTCTGTGATTATCCTGTTTAAGGAGTGAATGGCTATGATATCATTCTGTTCATTTCCTTCCCAGCGCTTATCACTCTCTCATGTTGTTTTATTAACTTTTTATTCTCTGTTTTTATCCACTAGAATAGAAGCTCCATGAGGCAGGGTCTTGTCTACCACTAAGGAGTGAATGGCTATGATATCATTCTGTTCATTTCCTTCCCAGCGCTTATCACTCTCTCGTGTTGTTTTATTAACTTTTTATTCTCTGTTTTTATCCACTAGAATAGAAGCTCCATGAGGCAGGGTCTTGTCTACCATGTTCACCGCTCCTATCCTCAGAGCCTGTCATACAGCAGGTCCTTGCCACGTGGAAATAAACAAATGGAGATAGAGTAAAGAGGATGGGCCTGGGAGAGATTGGGGGGTGGGACATAAAACGGACAGGACTAGGGGCTGGATTGGACATGAGGAATGAGTGAAAGAGAGTAGTAGAGCATAATTCACTGGGCCCTGGTTTACACAACAGTGTGGATGGTGGTGCCATTAGCCCAGGCTGGGGACACTAAAAAAGGACCTGGTTTGTGGGGCGCAGGAGGGGACAGAGAAAGAGGTGGGTCCTGGACATGCTGGGTATGAGGTGCCTTTGCTATATCTTAGTGACAATGTCTGGGCAGTTAGCGGGAGGACAGCTTAACTGGTCCTCCCATTCCCACTTTGCCAGCCCACACTTTTTCTTCAGTCTGGCACCCAGACTGATGTCTGGCCTTATGGTTTTAAAAGGATTAAGTCAGATCCTGTTACTCCCCTACTCAAAACCTCCCAGAGGTTTCCCATCTCACCCACAGTTAAAGCCAGAGCCCTTGCAGTCACATGCAAAGCTTTGCTCAGTCTGGCCTCCCCTACCTTCCAGGTCTTGTATTCTACTGTCTTCCTCACTCATTCTCTTCCTACACGTTGGCCTCCATGCTGTTCCTCAGACATGGTTGGCCCCAGGGTCTCTGCACTAAATGACCTCAGATATCCACTGGCTCATCTCCCCACTCAGGTCTTTGACGAGACATCATCTTCTCAACAAAGCCGTCCATAACCATCTTCTTCACAATCTGCCCAGACCCGGCCTGAATCTCCTATTCCCCCTTACGTTGCTCTATTTTCATCTGTAGCATTTTCTCTGACAAAGTATTTATTTTATTTGTTTATTACTTGTCTCCTTCCACTACAACGTAAGCTTCATGAGGACTGTGATTTGTGTCTAGTTTGTTTACCACTATCTTCCCAGTGCTGAGAACAGCGCATGGCGAAACTAAGCGCTCAGTAAAAATATTTGGTGACTGGAGAGTATGTGGGTGTAGAGTTCAGAAAAGTGGTGTGGGCCCGAGACGTAGATGTGGGCATCGGCGTTCTGTTCGGAACTTGTGGATTCAGAGGGGGCCCAGTCTGCCATGTGGTGTGACTTTCCTATAGTTGTGCTCTGACACAGAATGTGGAGAATGGGGCTGACCTGAAAGTGAGATTTTGCCGGAAAGAGGAAGACTGATGGATTGAGAAGACAGGAGGCCTGTGGATTAGGTTCTCACTAAGATCCAAGAATGATTAAGGTGAGAGTAGTTGAACGAGAAAGCGAGAGGACAGAGGAGGTTGCAACAATGAATAATTCATGCGTTAGTGCTCAGGCATGATTTGCTGTGTGTTGCTGTGCATAGAATTCAACTCCAGGTGTGTTAACAGAAAAGGATTCTTATCTTTAGAGGAAACTCCCCTAGCATAAGCCCATTTGTTCAGCATTTTGTAGATGTTTGTGTAAAAATTTGTTCTTTAGGAAGTAGGATGTGAGTTTGCTCTCAATGGTATTATAAAATTTACATTTCTTGTTATAGTAATATATTTTTCTCTCTCCTCTAGATATTTTCTATAAACATATAAGACAGCTGTGATTGTAAAGCAAATTAGCCTTTCTCCTTAATTTTTTTTTCATTGCAAATACAAGTTTCTAAAGATAGACACATTCCTGTCTTAAGGAATTACTAATTCTGTCTTCTTTCCAAGTTGGGTTTCATATGAACAGGTTTTGATTATCATTTAACCAGATAAAATAAATAAAAGATCTAGGAAAACTCCTAAAGGAATATTTAGTGAACACAGAATAATAAGAAAAGTGTATCAGCTCTCATGCTTGCTTTGTTTTCCTGGGGGCTAGCTAAATATTTCATTCACATTTCCAGTTACTCAGCATCTAAATTCTTGTTTCCTTTTTGGCAAAGTGTGTTTTCTCACCCATGTTAAAATGGTTGCTAAAATGAAGCAAAGATGTGGCCTGTAATAGACATTGTCTCTGAAATTGTACTTATATTTTAAAGTTTAAGCAATTTTTGGCCTTAGAGGAGAAAATACATTTGGCCAGGAATACTATCAAATCTTTGTTGTGTATTGGTCAATGGCAACAATGTGGAATAAAAAAATTTAGTTCAGGGGCCTGCCCGTGGCTCACTCAGGAGAGTGTGGTGCTGATAACACCAAGGCCACAGGTTCAGATCCCATATAGGGATGGCTGGTTTGCTCAATGGGTGAGTGTGGTGCTGACAACACCAAGTCAAGGGTCAGAATCCCCTTACTGGTCACCTTTAAAAAAAAAAAAAAAAAATTTAATTCAGATCTTTTTTCTTTACAGGAGACTTAATGGAGAATCTCGTTCCCCATCCTGAATTCAAGATGCTGGGTGTTCGTAACATTCCTCAGATGTCTGCGAATTCCCTGGCATACAGCACGTTTACTTGGGCTGGTCTCCTCAAGCATTTGAGACAGATGCTAATTTCAAATGCGAAAATGGAAGAAGGTAAAGAGTATTTTAAAAATATGTAGCCCACAAGCCTGGAAAAATGCCTGTCCTGGAGCTCTTAGTATGAACTGGCTTGAGCCAGTTGAAATAATAGTCCCTTCTTCTGGCCAGGGAGGCTCCTGTAGAAACTCACAAGCACATCCCAGGAGGGCTTCTTACTCACAGTTTCATTACCAAAAAACATTTCAGAAGAGTGCCATGTGTTTGTTTGTTTTTAATTTTTATTTTATTTTAATCAAAGTAGCATATGAACATAGTTTTAAAAAATCAGGTAGTCAAAACTTACTTACTTGTATACTTAAACACATACATTGCACTGTATGTGCATTATATCTCAATTTTCTAAAAAGCCAATTGTCCAGTATGGATTTATGACAAGGAAAACAGCAGTCCCTGTCCTACACTTCCCCATTGCCTAGATGAAACTACTTTCAATGTTTGTAGCTATTTCTTCTGCAATTTGCCTCCATATTGCTTAGTATCTTATACTGTCATTTGTTTTATTTTCCGGTTTTAGATATTATCCATTCCTTCCTAATGTGAAAATTGAGGATTGAATCTTTTTACACCCCCTTCTGTACACACACACATAAACATTCACATTATCTCCCTCCATTCTCCCAATATAGTTAATAACACTTTGGGGTTAGATCAGTTTTCAGTGTTTGTATTACTTTCGTTATATACATATTATTCACTGTATAATTTATTTTTTCCTACTAAAGTTGGTAACAATTATATTTACTTGGTCGATAGTCTCTGTACCTATCACTAATCTATCCTGAAACCTTTCCATAAAAATGAATCCCGTCTCAACATGTTCAGACCCATCAGGTAACCTGTTACTCTCCTTATCCGCTTGAAGATGTCCCTCTTAGAAGGCCTTCATCCTCCTATTCCAGTCTGGACTGATTGTTCTCCAGGCTTGATAAGCAGCCAGCTCTTGCATCTCTATCTGCCTCTTTCTGTATTATATTCTGTTTCCTAGATTTCAGATCTTCCTCTTTCTTGGTTTATTCCCTGATATTGACGGGCCATACCCTCTAGGAGCTTCCTAAGAAAAGTATAGGTAAGGTGAAATTTTTGAGACTACAAATGTCATTGTTCTGTTCTTACATTTGAATGTTAGTTTGGCCTGGTGTAGGATTCTAGGTTGGGAATCATTTTCACTCAGTATTTCAAAGGCATTTATCTACTATCTTCCAGTTTCCAGTATGGCTGCTAAGAAGTCCCATGGTATTCTTGTTCCTAACCCTGTTTTATTCTCTCTTGAAGCTTTTAGGATTTCCTCTGTCTCTAGCATTATGAAATTCCTTTGTGTGAGTCTTTCGTTTATCTCAGTAGAATGTAAGCTTTATGAAGGCAAGGATTTTTATTTGTTTTGTTTACCACTATATCTTTGGAGCCAGAACATAGTCAATACTCAATAATTACTTGCTAACTGAGTCACTCTGGGCACTGAATGAACCAGAGTGTTATAACACCACAGAGACATTGCAGACTTGTGTGGTTTTGCAGTAAGGTGATCTGCCTGGTCATGTTATTGGTGGGCCCCCAAATATCACACTTGGTGTATCCCATCTCTTGATTAGTTACCTCCCTCCTCTAGCCTCTTTTCCTGAAGGCGTAATAAGCCTGGCTGGCAGCCTTTTCAGAGCTGGACAGGGAAGAGCATGGACCTTTCCCTGTGAGAGCTTTCACTTAATGACCTGGTTTTCTGTAAGGTTCTATGCATGGCTGTGCCTGGTGTCACTGAGGCTGGAACCTCACCGATTTTGCATTTTCAGAGCAGAAACCTCCCTCTAGGATGGAGGGAGGCATTCCCCCTGCTACAAGGAGTGGGCAAGGTTCTGGGGCTCTCCCTGCTTCTCATACAGATTTTTAACTAATCCTCCTGTTTCTTCTACTTTGGGAACTATAGGTTCGAACTTCCAAAACTTTATTGACATTATCTTCTCTCTTTTTTTCTTATTTATGCCTTTTAAGAAATACTTTTGGGGCTATCCAGTTAACTCAATTGGTTAGAGCACCAAGGTCACCTTGTAACACCAAGGTCAAGGGTTCAGTTCCCCATGCTGGCCAGCTGCCAACTGGAAAATAAAAACAACTTTTGTGGCTGGTCAGTTTGCTCAGTGGTTAGACTGTGGTGTTATAACACCAAGGTTGGCCAGCCACCAAAAAAAAAAAGAAATCTTTTTATTGTCTTAGTGAGATTTGGGGAGAGAGTAGTAGTAAACTGGTACATTCAGTTGTCATGTTTAACTAGAAATCACTACTATGTATTATTTTAGTAGCAGATATTATACTGCAAATTAAAATAACTTAGGTTTCTGGCCAGCCACAAAAAATAAAATAAAATAACACATTTAATACTATGAGAATGGATTTTCTGTACATTTACTTATAATATGTTATGGATTTTAGATTATAGTGCCAGAGGTTTGGAGATAAATAGAAAGTTCACATCTTAAAGTAGCACTGCCTGAATTTTTTGGCCACAGTACCTGTTTTTCTTGCATTATCTGTTAATATCTCAAGGAACACAGTGTTCCTTAGGGTAGTGTGAGACGTGCTGCTCTGAGCTCTCTTAGGTCAATAAACCAGTTTGCTTAGTCATTTTCCATGCAGGACATTGTCAATATTTTTCACAGTTATAGGTAGAATTTTTTTTTTTAATTTCTATTGAATCAAAATTGATTATACATATTTTTGGTGTTCAACATTGAGATATGTTGATCAAATCAATATTACTAGCATATGTATTGTTACAAATTATAATTATTCTTTATGCCCCTTGTCCAATCTCTCCCCATCCCACCTCTAATTACCCTGGATTTCTCCCCTCTTCCCCCTCTAATTACCCTAGATTTCTTCTCTCCTTCTGAAAGAATAATGGTTGCTCTGTTGATTTGTTGCCTAGATGATCTGTCCAGTGCTGAGAGGTGTGGTCAGGTCCCCCAATATTATCATAGAGCAGATGCTTCTTCTGTCACTCTGAAATGGGCTTTGTGGAGAGAGACATCCTCTTCCTTTCTTTA